TGGCTTCTGTAGGCCGAATTCATATTCATCTATACAGAAACATATATGCTAGTTAGTTAGACAAGCATATTCCAGTCCTTTCAAGTACCTGAAATAACAAAGAACTTTTGTGCCAAAATCGTATTCATCTATCCTGACACACATGCTAGATGGAAACTGGTGTGTTCTTGGCATGTTTAGGGTTTGGGGTAAGGTTGATCTGATGGCTTCACGTTCTCCTGCTCAACTTTCACGTTCACTTCGTCCATTTGCATTGGAACCGTATTTAGAGGCTGCAATCCCAAGGGTCAATCAAAACATAAGAAGATGGGATGACAAGCATATCTTCTCACAAACAATGCCACATCAAGCAGACCTTGGCATGTTTTGTGTATCCTAGTTGTGCTTAAGTTGAAACATATTATACCTTCGCACTTGCAGTTTCATCGGCCATTGCCTCTGAACCTCTAGCATGCTCAGCAGCTCCTCTCTGGCCCTCCTGGACAAACCAAGATGGAACTCACTGTCAGAGAATGTGCAAAGATAATCCCCAATAACCTTGAATTTTTAATGCTTCGTTAGTGCTACTAATTAACAAGGACGTGCAACAATAGATGATTTAGAAGTCTTATCCAATATGTGTCTCTGGACCTGCAATTAAAATTTCAGATCCCTACTTCCTAAACTACACTGTTATAGCTGGACAACACTATTAACTTAATTTCTTAAAAAAAAAACTTAATGCTAAAATTTCAGATCCCTACTTCCTAATACATATAATTCCAAAAGCTCACTTATTGCTAAAATGTTCGAGAATTATCATCGGAATCATCACTTGTTTGGGTTTAAAGAGTTAAATTCATCAATACCATAGAAACATTAGGATATATTGTAGTCGCAAGAAAACCTACTCAATGTCTCAGTCTCAAAGACATGGTTAGGATCCAGTATCCACTACATAATAATGAGGACAAACCAGGGTGTGCAGATATACAGTTAGACAGTTGAGAGTCGAATGAATGCTGGCAAACAATTGGAAACTTGTGCTGGTGGGAATTACTGCACGTATACAAAAGAACATACCAACTCCTTTGGCTCAGCTTCAACTGCTTCTCTCTTAACCCTGCCGGACAGAAGCTTGCTGCAGAGATTTACAAATACAAAAAAGTGAACAATCATTAGCGACCAAATATGTGGGAGGCAATAATTGAAACTTGGTGCAAAAGAATATACCGATCATCATCAACATCCATGTTGAAATCTTCCCATCTCTCATCACCATCATCCTGATCTTCATCTGCCTGATTATTCCCAAACAATTTAAAAGACACATTTTAGCAACTATAGGTTCAAACAAAAATGAACCAAACTACACAGAACAGTCAATCTACTCTTTAAATTAGATAATTTTTCAGTGAAATGCAAATAATACAAAATTTCTTATAATTTTTTAAGTAAATGAAAAAGTTCACACTGAGCATTGGTTGTCCAATTTACATACAACTGATAGTCACATGGTGTTCAGCTGTATTAATGATGTCAGAAACGAAAACATCATACTTCATTTTGACACCAACATGCACCCAATAGGGAGGCTTTCGAATCAGCTTTGAGCTTTGTATTAGTTACATAGGAACTACAACACGCTCATTTTTGTACCTCAGATTACAAGTAATATATTATAAATATATCATATTTCGCTCTTCAAATTAAAATATCTTCTTAAGATCCCAATCAAATTAACAACATACGATCACTCTTATCCGTCATTCCGGAATCTGGACGAACATGTGAAGAAGATGAAAGGAAAGACAAACTGGTACACACATTCAGAAGAGTCGTCTATGATGCATGCTCATATACAGGATTGCAGAATAGCTTCAAACACCAAAGTTAAGACAATGCCATGCAACAAACAAAAGAAAAGATATATGAAACATCAACCAGAAGATAACAACTAGAGGAAATGTACATACTTCTGGGATCTCAGTATCAGGGGGTCTCTCCTGAAACTGAACACTTGGGGCATGTTGAAGCTTTGTGAGATAATCAAGAAGTCTACACTTTATCTCCTCAAGTAACTGACGAGAATTTTTATTCTCCATGTTACTAGGAGCAACGTGAAGAGTGTAGTCTGGCCCAAAGTACTCAAAATACTCGTGCTGTGGCATTTTGTCATCAACTTCGATCCCAAGTGCCACCCCTGTCTAACTTACAAAGAAGAAATCACTGGTCAAAATGGGAGAAATATTTGATGTTCACAGCATGGCAATGGAGGCGAAAATAGTTACGCAAAAATAACTTTCAAGAAGAAGAGAATCAGTACCTCATAGCACCAGCATCGTGCAACATTCCTAATTGTATAGCCACCTCCACCAAGCAGTAACAATGGGACATTGAAGGATCTCATAAATTTAACACACTCCGCGTGGCCCTTAATGGAGAGATTAAAGCACCCTAGACGATCCCCAGATAACGAGTCTGCCCCACATTGGAGAACCACAGCACCAGGCTTAAAGACTTCCATTACTTTTCCAATTAAGGGTTTAAACAAAAAATGATAGCTCTCATCAATTCCATCATCTAATGGCACATTAAGCGAATAGTATTTTCCTTTCCCGTATCCAATGTCACGTATGTCTCCTGTACCAGGAAAATAATCCCCGAACTTGTGAAATGAAACAGTCATGACCCTATCGGTTGTGTAAAAGGCCTCCTCTACCCCATCACCATGATGGATGTCAATGTCCACATAGAGAACTCGCTGCAAGCATATCAAGAAAAAGAAGAAGAGTTTATGAGCTGGGCTAAACATGATAATATGCTTAATAGACTATGTTGGGATCAATACACTTAAACCCAACACTAAGGATCCCAGACTTTCAAGTAACTAAGTTGTGTGGTAAGAAGCTAGTTCCTTATTTGGTTGAAATCTAATTAGATATGTTTGGTTTCTCTTTCAAGAGAATGAAATTGTACCTAGTGAGGATCGACCAGTACCAAAAAGAAATATTGATTTGGTTCATCCACACAATAGGATAGAGTTTCAGGATTCTGACACAGATAAAGAACAGTAGTCATATAATCTCATAATACAAATTTGCATCACTTGAAATTGAACTATCTAATAACAAATGAAATTAACACTTAACAAAATATGATCCCAGGATAGCTTTAAATTGGTATCTGATATCTACTGGTTGAACATTAGAACCTCAAATGACATCTGTAGGTGAAACTCTAGATTCACTGTTGCTATTATGAACTCAAATTGCGTGCTTATAACTATCCTCTATATTTGAAGAATAAGGTACATGTATGTGGATCTAGAAAAGTTTTGTACTTTGAACATATCATCAGTAGCTCGGAAGCTGTGTTGCTTACTCATAACATGTGTAACAATGTCAAGTAGCTGATATTTCATTGTGAAGTCCACACATGTTTACTTATTCTCACATGCCTCTTAACTCTTAAGATAACTGAATGGTGGTGACCAGATCAACAGCCTCGAAGATGACACGAGCATAACTAGAACTATATGAGCTGGAGATGAATAAATGCTATTTGAAATCTATATGGTGTAATAAACAACAGCATTCCTAAGACTGAAAGTTGTTCCAAAGATTAGCTTATACCCCAAGCAAACAGCAATTGAACACCAACAAATGAAGATAATTTCTCAAAAGAGTATTCAAAAGAGACATATAGAGACTAACCTCATGCGTTTTAAGAAGCTCCAAGATAGCAAGGACAATATCGTTGACATAGCAGAAACCAGAAGCCTCGCACTTCTTGGCATGATGGAGGCCACCCGCCCAATTGACAGCAATGTCACACAGGCCATGGTTCAACTTGACAGCCCCACCAACAGATCCACCGGCGTAGGTTTGGCAAAATGAAAAGAGACCATCAAAGACTGGGCAATCTTCCCCAACATTGAATCTCTTAAGTTGACGAAGCTGATCTTGTTGGGTTTCAGGGGTGATGCTCTTTAGGAAAGAGACATAATCATCGGCATGGAAGCGACAGAGATCCCTATCGCGGGCAGGAAAGGGCTTGAGGACTTGCATATGCTGAAGCAATCCATAGTGGGCGAGAAGAGCATGAGTCATGCGAATGCGATGGGGCTTCATGGGGTGACCTTGACCATAGTAGTAATTTCCCACTTCTGGGTCGTAGAAATAGCAAACCTTCCTCTTGACTGCATCAGACCCAGATGGGAGAGAATTTCCCCCCGTATCCATATCTGGGTTCCCCCCGCAAAGCTCTGTGCACTAGCGCTAACCTGTGAGGAAACCAGAAGCTTTGAACAGTTACCCACTTTGCTCGCCCGCGATATGAACAAAACAAAGGTTCATTTAAAAACAGGAGGATAGGAAACCCTAGGAAAACGACTGCAACAAGCTGATAGGGGATTTTACTGGGAATGGAAGAGACCCTTTTAAAAGTTTAGCTTCTCTTACCTAGTCGACTAGAAAACCTCCCGAAATGTCTTTCCCTCTTCTCCTGCTTCAACACACTTCTTCGTCTTGACCCGTTTCCTCGCTAATGCTTCCTCTGTAGATCGACCTTCCGCTTGCAATCGAATGAAGAGATCCAATCGCGTTCCTCCGCTCACTCCACCACTTCCGGCTGAATTCATGCCATTTTCGAGGCTTAGGTCTTGTATTAGGGTCTTGGGGACGGGCGGCTACTCCAACTTCCTATTACAAATTTCAACCAGCAACTACGAATCTACAATCTCCAAAACTCAGCCGCCAAGCTTACTCCCGATAATTCACGAGAACCCGACCGTTCAAAAGAAAAGGCTTAATCCAACGGGGAAGATGGACCGGTTCCAGCCGGGCCTCTTACTTACTTCCGGGTCCGGCCCACTCAGCAGTCTTCCCGGGAAACAATAACTGTTTGTTTTTCCTTTTTTCCCCTTAGTTCCCACGTCTCGTTTTCAATTATTTATTTATTTCGATTTCCCGCAAAAATTGATTTCCGTCCCCCTCTGTAAAAAAATAAAAAAATTCGGGGGCGGCTTTATCTGATTTTTTTTTTTAATTCTCTTCTTTACTTTTCTGATTCTCTCTCTGAATTCGGCACCGACGCCATGCCCTTTCCGTCATCGCCATCTTCTTCCTTCATCGTCTTCCGTCTCTTTCGCGGGGAATAATTAAGGTCATTCTCGTCCCCCTCTTCCATTCGTGTCTCTGCGTTGAATGATTTTCCCGGCGGGTTGTTTGTTTCCAGGGAAGAAAGAAAAGAACGGGAGATTCAAACTGCGGTGTGATTGATTATTTCTGTTTTTTTCCCCTTCTCCTGGGTGTATCGGGTACGCTTAGTTCGGTTTCGTTGTCCGGTTTTCTACGCTGAATTGCGATTTAGGGGTCGTGTTTCTTGACCGAGTTGCCGTGGTAGATTTCATCTGCAAATTCGGTTATAGATTCTTGTGTGGGAGCGAGATTGATCGAGCTGTGAAAATCAATGCGAGTTTGACTTTGGAACTGAATTCTGGGTGCTAATCACGGCGATTATTGATCTAGTTTGGATTGGCAGAGTAAATTTCCATCTCAATCGGGTCATGACACAAGTATCGCCAGCTTTTTTCGTGCTTCATCGTTCTGTTTCCAGCTCGTAGTTATCGTGAATGAACTCTTGATGGGCCCTTGGCGATGGTGGCTACTACTAATCGATGCTCATTACTCGTGTGTTTAATGCAGGAGTCTTTTTTGGATTTCTTTCTCTAGGAGAATTGGCGTTTCTTGGTTGTCTCTTGAGCTGAATATTTTGTACAATCTGGTCCACCATCATTGTAAGGTTGAAGCGAGGAACCCCTGCTGATGAAGTGTTTACACGAAAGTTGATGAATTGAGGTGTTCCAGTAGGGAGACTGTTCAGATTGCCTGATGGGTGTAAGCTATTTAGCGATTTCAGCAGTGTCGACTGCTTTGAGCTTTGTAGGTCTCCAGTATCAGGCAGAGTTTTCGTTGGATAAACTACGAGCCAATGGGTTAATTGGTGAGGATTCTGTTAATCTAGAGAATGCCAACGATGCCCTGGGGTTGCTATTGGGGTCTTATGCCACCACTGCATTGCTGGCAAATTTTCTGTTCAACGTGTTTATACTGCTCAACCTTTGCCTTAAGGTAAGCTTTTATTTGCCAACCCAGCACACAGCTATTAAAGTGGTTTAGTAATGTATGATTGGCTTGAGAGAGGCAGACTTGTTCATCCCTTATTTGTGATTGAATCGGGCATGTAGAAGTGGCTAAAGCATGCATGGAACATGAAATAATGTTTGTGTTGGTGGTGCTATGTTGCTGCATTTTTATCCTACTAAATGAGCAAACAATATGTGATCTTTAAGATGAAGTTTATAGTTTTCTTCCGAGTGGTCTCTGCGCATAACACAGTTGATCCCAATTTAATCTTGTACAGTGGAATGAGTTATGGTGAGAGTTCCACAACCTCTCAATTATAGTTTCTTTGTGGCATTTACAAACTTCAGATGTGATTCTTATATGATCTCTGATTACCTTTTGAAAGCACTTAAATTTGTTTATATATGACATTTTAAGCCTTTTGTCTTATTCTTACTTAAATATTCATGTGCTCCAATTTAATCAATGTGGCCTTAATATGAATACTATGACTTCACTCACCTGGCCTCATTGTCATGCTAAATATAATAGCTTTTGAAAGTTGCTGGATGAACTTGATGACTCTGGTTGGGTTAAAGGGGAATGCAACTCTTTCCTTATCCATGATGATTGAACATATGTTGTGGTTTTGATTTTGCATTGCAGAGTATCTTCTTTGCGGACTTGTACCCTTCTGAAACTCGGAAACTTGTAGAACGTCTTGTCAATTATGTTATTTACAAGGTAAGCTTAATTAATGGTTATTATTTGGTAATCTTTTACCATGATGGATGTGCTGCACTCTGAGTCAATACAGTACTCCTAACTGGCAAGTATTTCACATTGTGTCACAAATCAAGAATAAGCCTTCCACCACTCTCTTCTTTTTCCGCGTGCTTGAGAAATAGATAACTGTTTATCTTATGATATTTAGCTCATATTTATTTTTAGAAACGGAAGAAGGCGAATTTTGGTCAATTTGAGAGCTAAATATTATGGTAGACTAATTTGATCTTTCTTTATATGGTGTTCATAATGTTGAAATTTCTGTTCTTGTGTACCTTTTTGATGAATTATTAACAGGGAACCTTTCTACCTCTGGTTATTCCTCCCACTGTATTTCAAGTTGGGTTGTGGTTGATCTGGCTGACAATTATGTGTTCTTTGAAGGTAAAAGAAAAGTATTTTAGTTCAGACTGCTGTTTTAGGTTCATCATCCAAGTGTCGTTGTGTAATTGAAAGCTTCGTTACTTTTTTTATGGTTGCAGATGTTTCAAGCTTTGGCTAGAGATCGGCTCGAACGGTTGAATGCCTCTCCTTCAGCTCAGCCATGGACGTACTTTCGCGTGTATTCAGCATTGTTGTTTGTACTCTCTGTTGACCTTTTCTGGTAATGCCCCCTTTATACAAAGAAAGGCCACTGAAGTGAAGCTTTCTAGCTCGTTGTCTCGATGCTAACATGCTTACACTTATTTCGTCATGGAGGCTGTGCTAATACTAGGAAAGTTAGGAATTGCTGAGCTGCAGAACAAACCCTTTCTCTTTTATTGTTTTAATATTTTATTTTCTGGTTTTAATTCATGCGTAGAACTTCATGAGTTGTCATTTCATAGCTAGTGTGATTTTGCTTCTGTTGACTTTCTTTGACCAATAGAACTCTGTTTAGTTGGATATCTGGCATTCATAATAATGGGTTAATGGTGAATTATTTTTAAGCTGGAAATGATATTTCTTTTCTCCAACTTCATAAGGCTGGACAATTTTTACTAGTTTGCCAACTGAACCCTGCTTGTCTGTGAGTTCTCAAGTTTTTGTCTTCCTTTTGCTTCTTGATTGAGTTTTCTGTTTACAACCTTCTTTGGTGGTAACAGGATAAGGATATGCTTCGGGATTTATAAAACATTGGGTTCGCCCATGCTTCTGTTGCTGTTTTTTTGAACCCCTCAGCATTGCTTTTGAGACATTGCAAGTAATGTTCTGGAAAGTGCTCATTTATCTATCTAGTGTTACTGTCTCACCTTTTAATTCATATGGAATTTTTTATCTGGATTGACGTGGTTATCTCCTTTCTCCAGGCTATGTTAGTCCACGGATTTCAATTGCTTGACATTTGGCTCCACCATTCTGCTGGTGACAGTGCTAACTGTCAAAGATTCAAGTTCTTTGATACCCTCAGAGCAGGTATACCTGTGCTAGTTGCCATCCACGAATTGATGTGTATTCTGATTGATCTGAACTGCCACTGGCTGATTGGCGTATGCTCCCTGTGACATTCTTTAATTTGCTTGCTATGGCTGCACTTTTCAGTTTCAGGTGTAATACTCGAGCTAAAACACCGAGTAAACTTGGAAACATTTCTTAAATGAATTTGATTTTAAATGGTCGTTTGCAGTCCTATTACTTCCCTATGAAAATTAATTTATATTTGCAAATGAAATCCTTTGTATTAAGAAAGACTATTCTTTTTTCCAAGAGGTGCGATCAGAAGGTCCTAGGATTCCTGGAAATATTGATTTCCTTGATTTTCGTACATGTAGCTGTATTTAAAATCGTTTGTATTGGATTGCCGATTCTGCTGTTTTGACTGGGTGAGAAGCTCACTGCAGGTTCATTGTGGGAGTGGAAAGGCACTCTTACTCGAAATCTGGGGTTTGCCCTGGATATGGCTACACTGTTAATGGCACTTGGCCATTATGTGCACATATGGTGGCTCCATGGGGTGTCATTTCACCTTGTTGATGCAGTCCTTGTTCCTAAATATAAGGGTAAACTTATCCAACTTCCTTCACATCAATGATTAGTAACTTGGTTGTTCTTTCAAATTTGTTAATTAGTCATGCATGGTTTGTTGCAGGCCTTGTTAAGTGCTATCATAAAGCGTGTAAAAGGATTCACCAAACTGAGAATGGCTCTAGGCGCTCTTCATGCAGCACTTCCTGATGCTACATCAGAGGAGCTACGGGCATACGATGATGAATGTGCCATTTGCAGGGTATGCTTGAGCTGTTATTCAATCAATGATGCATGCTACTGTAGATCATTCTGTGCTCTGAAGGTTTAACAATTTGGATAAAATGGCACAGGAACCCATGGCAAAAGCAAAAAGGCTTCACTGCAGTCACCTTTTTCATCTTCCATGCTTGCGATCTTGGTAGGTTATTGGAGTTGTCTAAATCTTGGCCTTTCTCTTGCATTGAGAAAGTCTTGAATGCTTACTGTGCAGTTTTCTGTGCTTCCAGGTTGGATCAAGGATTAAATGACATGTACTCCTGTCCTACTTGTAGAAACCGCTGTTTCTGGGTCGAGCTGAAAATGAACCAAGTCCAATAAATAGAGAAGTGTTAAGCGATGAGCAGCTCGCTCGCGAGATAAGTGAGCGCCTTGATCGACCAAACAATGCGGGGAACAACTTTCCTGCTGGACCATTCCCTAACCAAACTCAGAACCCTATGGAGGGAAGTTCTTGGAGGTTCGGGTCATAGTCTCCCTCTTTTGAGTTGGTCCTAAGAGGCTTTGGATCATCTCCGTGCCTCTAAGCTTATTCACGTTCTTCTTTTATGTGTTGGTCTCAACAGAAGTGCAGGGCTTGATTCAAGTTGGTTGCCTCAATGGCCAAACCAGGGTGTAGATGGAGGAGCCGGCCCCTCAAACAATGCTATGAGATCAGCTGGGTTGGGGAGAGTTCAGATGATGATGAGACATCTTGCGTCAGTGGGAGAAACATATGCCCAGACTGCCCTCGAAGATGCTGCTTGGAGCCTATGGCCTATGAATCATCCTTCTCAGGGTATGGCATCTGGTTTGCCACCCATCCCACCAGATCCCACCACCGCGGGAAGATACCCGGGTGGGGTGAGTGGTGGAGGTTTACATATGAGGACTCCCTCACGCCCTGTAAACGACAACATGGCTAACTTGCTTGCTATGGCTGAGACAGTACGTGAAGTTTTGCCTCACATTCCAGATGAGTTAGTACTCGAGGTATACAGCCAACATATAACTTGTCTACTCATACTTGAACATAGATCTCAACTTCGGAAGCAAGTAAATGAGTATGGTGCCTTTTCTTTGCAGGACTTACAGCGAACAAACTCGGTTGCTGTTACTGTGAATAATCTTCTTCAAATGTGAGATCTTACGACAATGGCATGTTGGGGACGGAGCAATCTTCTAAGTGCAGAGTGAGCAAAGAACCTGTCCTCCTTTTTGTAGTATTACTTACCGAGGCAAAGCGACAGGTTCGCGCGAGTTCAGCTGAGCTCAGGGCGTTAGAAAAAAGAAAGCTTTTCAGTTTCTGATTACTACAATCACTTCTTTTTGGTTTTTCTCTTCAATTGCCTTCCTTCATATACCCAAATGCCTGGCGGTGTATATAGGTCTTGTGTATCTCAATAGAGAAGCGAGTTTGTGTCTGTTACTACATTGCTTCTGTTGAATAGGGAGCAAGAAAATCATAAAGGACCGAAGTAAATGACCATTTGGGAGGCAATAATAAGCATCAGGGGGAACACAACACAGGTGGCCCTTTTCTGGCCCCTCTCACTGTCTCTTGGTGTTTCGATACGAGCCCTCTGCGCGCCCTTGTGGTGTGCTTCGGCTGTCACTTCGGAGCTTTCCTTTCATGGCCAGTTGGAAGCAGGGCAGGTTCTTGATGTTATTCTATAGTACTTGCAAGATATGGTCTAATGGAATCCTGTTTTTCTTTTATCTCTCTTGTCGATGAATGTGTCGCGCAATTGGCCGTTTTCAAATCTTGTATGCGGGCATCTGGTTTGGTAATTTGGACCTGGCTTGTTTGATTCGAATGTTTTGGCCAGTCTAAGAATTTTCCTTTCCTTTCATTTCCCTCAGTCCTGCCTAGTCCTGGTGCGTTTTCGACCTGTGGTGTTCAATCTGACTTGACGATAAAGTGATGGTCTCATTTCTCGTATTGTTCGTGAATTGGTCGGCCTATTGTCGTTCGTATTTTGGAGTCAAGAAGTCCAAGTTCGTCTGTGCTCGAGATGAAATGTGTTTTAGGAGTCTGAGATATCTGTTTCACCCTAGTCGATTTGGTTATCATTCCCGCTTCTAATAACCACAGATTTGGTTCAAATGCACATGAGATGGTGGTCTACACGGACCATGGGGTGAAGATGATGGCTTTTACCATGTTCTACGCATTTGGGTTTGTGATAGACAGTGGTTAAAACTAGGAGTTAAAAAGGTGAAAAAGGGGGGATTAATGCGCAGTAACCGGGACACCGGGAACAACGGCGGGCGGGCGGACCGAAATTGCAGGGGTGATTTCAGACAACATAGGTTGGGTTCGGTTTGTTGGTGATCAGCGCCCATCCCAAGGCTTCCTGTCGTTCTCCTGCGCCCTCTGTCAAATATATACAAACTCGTACGTTGTTTTTTTTTTTTTTACCTTTTACCCATTTTCACGTTGGCGTACGTGGAATGTGCATGGGGCCGGTCAAGCCAGCCATTGTTTGTTTCTGAGCTTTTTTCCTTTTTGGCTTTCCTCTACCGACTCTTCGATCTCTTTTTTGACTTGTGTTTACCTTTTCGCTTCCTGAAATTACTATATAGTTTGTTTATTTCAATGTGTCCCCCCATTGTCAACTGCGTTAGTTAACCAGAAACGCAACTCAAGAAAGTTGTTTAAAGGCGCGCATGCTAGAATTCTTGTTTTCTAGGGATGAAAATGGGTTGGTTTGGTTCGACTTTCTTTAAGTCCCCACAAAATCTGATTCAGGCGAGTGCACTCATTAAAAAAATAGTAAAATATCGATTGGATTTTAGAAGTGAAAATCCAATTCAATCTTACGAGTATTCATGAGTTCACGAATATAATCATACATATTTCTTTGAACACCCATTATCAAAAAAATTCCTGTAAATACAACATCCAAAAGTTTTCACATTATTCAGGTTAGATTCAAAATGACGGCATTTTGTTTTTATGGGTCTGGGTCGGATGGAAACCTACTTACTTTATCCAAGTGTTTCGAGCCCACCAATTTTAAAAACGTACCCGACTCAAAAAACCGCTAACATTGAGTTTTACCCGGTTTAACCAGATTGGGTACCCGTGAATTCGATCCATGGATTCAATTGCCATCCCTAAATGGTTTCCTCGATCACAGGCACAAATATTGTCCTTGTATTGAGATCTCCTTTAATTCCCCACCTAGATACGAGTGCACATACATCTCTCCCAATTTCTTATATAGTGAATGCCAGTCAGCTAGAGCTACCTATAGCTTATAATAAGAATGAGTATATAAAGATCCACCACCTCATAGCTAATTGCTCTCCCTCTCTCTCTATAGAACTTCTCATCATCTCCTCTTCCTTGATCCGGTTCAACCTGATCAAACCATCCATCGATCTTCATAAAACCAGTCATGTATTTCAAGCCCACAAGATTGTTGTTCTCGAGCATCATCATCACCACGCTACTGATCTTGTCGTGCCTCTCCATCCATGCAACCGAAGCTCGCCATTTCGGCGTAGTAGTCTTCAACAAGGTTCGTATTCTGGCTCCTGCGGGCCTAATTGTTCTGTGTTCAGATAAGTACTTGGAGTTTAAGATGGTGTTTTGCCCTTCATGCAGAATCATCAGAAGGACAACGTGGCGAGTTCACCAGTTCAAGCAGAAGGCAAGAGTGGTGTAATAATGGCGATGGAAGATGAAGGTGCGAAGGATGTTGGTAAGTCATTATTAGGCCGTGGAAATCCAGCAAAGGCGGATGATAAGGGGCGCACTGTTGTACATCCTGGGTTGGATCACCAGCAGCTGGACTATTCTCTTCCTAGAATGCGCACACCTTCTCACAATTAGCAAAAATGCATGTTATAGCTGTTGTTTGAGTTCTTGATGAGGATATTGATCAGTTCTTTATGTAATGTATATGAAAGGCAAATTTTGTTTCATGATAATTTTTTTTTTTTTTGGGATATGTATCTTTCTAATAACTAAGACAGAAACGAGAGAATTTAACTTAATTATTATGACGAGTTGGCATTTTCTTTATATATTATTGTAGCTCGAATGGCATCACCAAGTACTCGTAGTTTACTAAGAGATGTATGGAACATGCATGCAGGTAATGGCGGGATGGTTGAATCTGGTTTCGTTTTGGACCATCTTAAGTCGACAATTGTTGAGGTAAAAACAGTACACATTTGATGCCTAGCTTCTTCCTTTAGGTTGAATCGATCATATCAATAAACCTAAATGCTAAGAAACGCCACCTCGTTACTCTTACTGGAATTGATGGGAACTAAAAGGCTAAGGGAGAGACTTCATCAAAGGAATTAAGCTAGCTAATTGGGTATGAATAATCTAAGAGTGTGAATATTGGTGATTTAGTAGTTAATTATAACAAGTTGTGCGTTTGTAACTGTTGCGTAGGAGGGGTTATCATACACAAGGCGAGCATTGACATCGATGATAGAGTCCGAGAAGTCCAATAATCCCAATGTCGAACTCATAGAAGATTCCCACAACGACGAGGAAGGACGACAACAGCAGCAACATCAGGAAGTAGAGATAGATTATAACCCACCTAGCGAAACACCGCCCATACATAACTAGAGGTGTAGTAACAAACTATATATCTATAAGATATATGAAGCCAAAACAAGTGTTTAGTTTGCAGGGATTCAAATTTCCAGCCCGCAGAGGGTTTGTCGGAAGGGCACTTTAGTCAATTCACATTTAAATAAAACTGTGCGTTTCACCTCCAACACATTCTGCCGGTGGACCGGGCCAGTTTATTATATAGTCGGACCGGGCTGTTGCCCCCTGAAGTATCCGGCCCAAACTCTTCCCCCTTGACGTAGTCGGCCCAAAGACTGCTGGTGAAATGCTTCCATCGAAATCTCTCGGAACCCATATTCAGCTGCCGTGGCAGTCCATGCCGTGTTAATTTCTTTCTCCATATCGATTTCAGTCTCAAGCCCTGCACTTCAAGACTACATATGCAATTGTGAGGGACGCGTGGGCGGTGGGAGTTGCTACTCCTCCAATTGAATTCCCCAACTCCTCCTGGCGTATTTTGCAGGGTTCATGCGAGCTATATTCAACCCGCCAAAACCTCCTTCCAATCAACAAACCGCTAAGTAAACCTTTATTTTTGATCAATTAGAGCTTGCTGGTTCATGCTTAAGTGTGATTGCAATCAAGATAATGTCCGGAAATCAACAACCTGGTGGAAGCTCTTCAGTGCAAACCAGTGCTCCCAACCGTCGGAATTCAAAGGGCAAATGTAATTTGATTTCTTTGGTTTTTTCCATGTTCCACTGTTATTGTACGTATTCAAAATGGACACAACATATACCCGCTGCCTTAATTCTGTCGTATTTTGCAGGGTTCATGCGAGCTATATTCAACCCGCCAAAACCTCCTTCCAATCAACAAACCGCTGCTGAAAGGGATCGTCTTAATCAACGTAGTTCCGCGATTCATTTGTTGGTACATTAAATTAAAGTTTACTTTGGCACAAAATCAGGATAATTTGATTTGTATATTTCAATTGCAGAAATACTCACCCTTCAATCACAAGTTGAGCATATTGATCGCTTGATAGCTCAATCCTATCGAAAACGACGACGGGAGATCTTGAATGCGCGCTTGCGACGTACTGTTGAATATATTCCACATGGTAAGCTTAGTATCTTTTAAATGCGTTTCTTTATTTTGTAAGGTGTGTTCTAGACTATTTTGCATATGCATACCATAGTCCATATGTGCATTGCGTTGTATATGTCACGGAGCAGGATTCCATGTCGTCCTAATGGATTTAGTTCATGCATAATTAACTTTGTTACCACAGATTATAGTTAATGTATCTCCCACCTTCGGACAAAAAGGGCACGTTTAATGCGAGCGAGTCATTTGTACAAAAGGCGGATGGTTAATGCTGTACCGAGGGGGTTCTCCCGTTCTCATGGTTTGTGGCATCATATTTTATGTTTGTACATTGTAAATGCGTATTCATCATGTGTGAGTTATCTTATGTGACTACTTTGATTGTAGGATATCCTGTTGTGGAACTTTTTAGTCTGGGCGAGCCTACAAGCATTTGTCAATACTGTGCAGCAATTATGTGGGTGCAAGAAAGTACGGTTCCTACTAGGAGTCGTGTTAACCCCACTTTCTCATTGTGTTGCAAGGCTGGAAAGGTAAAACTACCCCCTAGACGTGCTCCACCAGAGTTTTTGAATGAATTGTTACATTCTTCTACACCTATGAGCCGTCATTTCCGGGAAGCCATTCGTAGATACAATGCTGTGTTTTGCTTTATCTCCCTGGGCGGGAAAGTGGATCGTGGTATAAATGATGGTCGAGGGGTGTATGTGTACTCTATAGGAGGACAAATTTATCACTCTATAGGCAGCTTATTACCCCCAGACGGTCAGCCACCGAGGTTTGCCCAATTATACATTCATGACTCAAGTTCTGAACTACAGAGTCGTTTGCATCTATTTCCAGTTGATGATGCCTCCAGTTCATTGCGATCAGATATTGTTGAACGATTGCAAGAAATGTTTGATAGAAACAATGTTCTGGTTCAAACCTTTCGGATGGCTAGGCAAAAGATACAGGAAGGCAATGTGAAAGAGGTGAAGATCAAATTAATTGCCAAGCGTGCTCATGATGGGAGAGAATATGATTTACCGACGGGGAATGACATAGCAGCCTTGATTGTTGATGAAACAGGGCAAGATACATTTGAGCCAGATATTATTGTTCAGTATAAGAGTTCTGAATTGGAGAGAATTAATTATTATCATCCATCATTAATGGCTTTACAATACCCAATTTTATTTCCTTATGGAGAGGATGGATGGCATCCGGACATAAGCTGTGATGATGATGATGATGATAATCTTTGGAATGACAAGACACTGTCCCAGTGTGATTATTATGCATACCGCCTACAGAGTAGATTTCAGG